GCTGCCGGGCGCGAGGAGAGCCAGCCGGGTGCGCCGCGCGTCCCCGCCGCCGCCGCTCCGCTGGTGCCGGCGACCCGCAACAATGTGGAGCCGCCTGGGCGCCGAGTCGAGCCGCGCTCGCTCCTCTCCCTCTCTTTCTCTCACTCGCCGAGCTCCAGCCTCTCACCCGCTCTCCCGTGATGTCAGCCCTAGGGGAGGGGTTAGCGTTAACCCCCTCCTCGCTCCGACGCGCGCCCGCCGCGGCCCGGCCTCCTCCCGCCCGCCCGCACCTTCCGGCCCGCGGCCCAGGCGGATCCCGAGCGAGGGCCGCGGGGTCCCGCTCAGGCCCCCTGGCTCAGGAGATGCCCCTCCGGCCGCCCTCAGCTCGGGAAGGGCCGCTGGGCGGGCTGCCCTCCTCCTCCGCTGACAAAGGGAGGCAGTGACCCCTAGCGGCCGGCGTCGGGGGAGAAGCAGCTGGGTGGGGGTGGAGTTAAGATGGGGGGACGGGTGGCGGCGGAGTGGCGTGCGCTATGGAGAATCCCGGCTCCAGCAATGTCCGAGCTGGAGAGGCCTCTACAGCCCTCTGCTTCAACCCTGGTCCCATTTCGCAGATGAGGAGACAAGGGCCCAAAGAAGGGTAAGACGACTGGCCCTGGGCAGAGAGTGCCAGAGCGGGGATCGCTGTCCTCCGCATCACTTGGAAGCTAAATGGAGAGGCAGCTAAGCCCGACGCCCAGAGGACACAGCCAGTTAGTGAGTGCGAGGCGGCCACTGAGGTTTCTGGTACGGTTTCCTTTCTAATCCCTTCAGGAGTCCCTGCTCCCTTCAGGAGTTCTTTTTCCAAAAATTGAACCACCGTCCCCCTTTCCCCAAATAGAGCACACACTGAGCTCCGCTCCCTTTGCCAGCACCTTCATTTTGAGCACTCTGCAGGATTCCCGCGGAAAGTGGCCCATCCAGTCAGTGTCCCTGGCAGGGCAGGGACTCTCCGCCCTATCCCGTTCACCATCCACCACATCCGGGTGTGGTAGGCTTCCTGCCAAGGCGACTGCGCCCTTCTGGCCCTTGGCAGCCTGAAGCCGCCCTCTCCCCCTTCCCTCTGTCCCTTCTATCCCGCGGCCCCCTGCAGGGGGGCAGACGGAGTTACCCCTAAAGCTTTCTCTCCCCAGACGCCCAGACAGTGCTCCCTTTGCCCTTTGCCCAGCCCTCCAGGCAGCAGGAGTAGAGGGGACACGGACCGTTTCTGATAACATGTAAATTTTGGTTCCTGAGAGGAGCAGAAGGAGGAGGGGCGAGCACAGCACCACATTCCCACTGCTGGGATCTGCCCCTGGAGTGTCTTTTGGATTCTCTGCTGCAGCAGTCAGATTGGGCACTCACACGAACACTCACCCACTCACTGTATGGTCTTTCACATTTAGCAAATGTAACCTGGGCTCTCTTTGTACCAAAACACTGTGCCAGTCTTGGGGATACAGAGATGTTGTCGTGGCCCTAAAAGAACTCAGTCTAGCTGGGGAGAAGAGGGGAAGAGAGATGCAGAAATAGGTGTTGTAAAGAAACATTTAATGTCGTGTGGTGTGGGCTTGTGGGGTCTGGGAGAAAGGGCCCAGTGTAGCCTTGGGTGGGTAGGGGGGAGTCAGGAAGGGCTTCAGGGGAAGGGAACACCAGCTCTCAGTGAATCATCAGACAAAGGCAAGCATTCCAACTGAATGGAAGGTAGGGTCAGCATGAGGAGAGGCAAGAAGGTGGGCAACAGCTGGGTGTTTGAGGGTCCACAACTGGTTGGTTGGTCATAGCTCTAGCCTAAAACTTGAGGAAAGGACAGGCCTACAGATCTGTGAATCATGCCCAGTGGCCAGTGGGAGGGTTTGAAGCTGGGAAATGCCCTATGGACTTTAGTTTGGGGCAGCCAGTTTATCAGCCAAGAATCTCCCACCTGGCTGCTAAGTGCTTTAAAGGATAGGGGTGAATTGGGTTCATTGCTGTGGCCTCTAACTCTGCGCCTGGCACATCACAGGAACTGAATGGATGGAGTTGGAGGGAGCAAGTCCAGATGTACCAATGTCTATCAGTTCTCAGCTCTTGTTCTCCCACTTTTTCCATCCTCAGGTAAGGCTTCTTTGATCATATGCTCTTAAGTGGCCTTCCAGAGACGTGTGTCTGGGGGGAGGGTTTGGCTGCCTGGGGATGGGTTGAGTGGAAAAATTGGAAGTAAGTAAATGAGAGAGCATGGGTGTTTACTCATCATCTTTAAACAAGCTTGGAAGGCTACCAGCAGAAGTGACATTTGACTGAGGCCACGAAGAGATCAGATATAGATCAAGAGAAGTGGCAGAGAGAATCTTAAGTGGAAGGAACAGCTCATACAAGAACATGGAAGTGCATGGAGAGGTGGGAGAGTTCCTGCCTGTGTTGGAACAGAAGGCAATCCAGTTGGTTTTGCACTCTGGGAATGTGTAAGTGAAAGGGATAGGGAGGTGTGGCCAGAGTGCAAAAGGTCTGGAAGATTTCCTTTAGTGGTGGGAAGAAGCATGCGACCAAGCATCAGGAAAGTAGGCTATACTTGGAAAGTGGTCTTAAGCTAGAAGCCCAGGCGTCACTCTTGCTTCTTCCCTTTTCTTCAATCACCATATTCCAATTCAAAAGAAAACCTTGTTGATGCTGCCTCCCATATACATATATCTTAAGCCTCGGGACACTGCTTTCCTTCTCCTGTTATCACCTTAGTTCAAGTTTCTGATTTCTGCCTGGCCTTTGTATATCCTCTGAATAGCCAGTACATACTGCTGGGGAGTAGTAAAACTTACATAATGGTTAAGCACATAGGACTCTGGAGCTACTGCCTGGATTGAAAACTTAAACTCCAGCTCTGCTACTCACTAGTTATGTGTCCTTGGGTAAGTGACTTAACTTCTGGGTGCTCAGGTCCCTCATCTGTAAAACAGGGGGAAATAATAGTACTTGCCTTACTGAGTTGTTGTGAGTTAAACATATTAAGTACTTGGAACAATGCTTGGTGTACAGGAAAAACCGTTTAAATGTTGGTCATCATTATAAATGTAATCTGTCTCTCTATATGTAGAAGTTGGAGGTTGCTTTATACATGTATCCTCTCCTGGAAGGATAATAAAACTTTTTATTTCAAAGTAATTGTGGATGTACAATAGAGTTGCAAAGATGTTACAAAGTTTCCATATGCCCTTCATCCAGCTGCCCTAAATATTAACATCTTATATAAACTGTGATACATTTGTCAAAAGTAAGAAATTAGCAGTTAGTATAATACTATTAATGGAACTATGTAATTTATTTGGATTCCCCAGGTTTTTCCCCACTAATGTCTATTTGCTGTTCTAGGGTTCAGTTTAGGATAC